GTGTCACATTTTCCATTCTCTGTTAAAATGCTTGCCATATAATTGAACTTATGCACCCGCATCATGTTTGCATCACAATTAGTAACTTGCATCTTGGGCTTTTTCTCTTGCTGAACAACATACTTTCTGCCTTCTTGAAGTAGTTTTTTTCTCGCTTTCTTCTACGACCCTCTCTAGGACGTTCTGTAGTTTTCTTCCCCGATTAGCAAACAACAAAGTTTTATCTGTGTATGAGAAATCGTAAAGATTACGCTCGCCGGTAATAAATCATGGCGGGGTCTCCAGTTACCTTAGGATAATCTCGCTGTAGAGTTTGAATAAATCTGGGGAGAAGACAAATCCATGCATTACGGATCTTTCTGACATTGTGTAGCTACCAATTCATTTGCTACCCTTATGTAGGCGGTATGCTCGCATTGTAAGTCCTGGAGTGTCCTAACATCTTTTTCAAATAGATCTAGTTTTCTTAACAGTTCAAATAGGACTTTTGGGCTGTACGCTGTCAATTTGTATCTAAAAGAACAATATATTATATAGGTTGAAAGAGCCTACATTAAGTAGGCGTCTACACGTAGTTATTGTGAATATATACAAGGTGTCCATAAATTATCTCTACAATTTCAACAGTTTGCTGTTCGTATTAAGATGCATGAATACACTTCTTTGCGTTTGTGGCCAGGTACTGAACTCATAACTCATTGGTCAAGTCATTTTGGATCAGTCAACCAGCGCTTTTATCCACATAGTCAATGAATCTTATATATATATATATATATATATATATATATATATATATATATATATATATATATATATATATATATATATTTAAAATACCATTATAATAATTTATTTCACCAGAACCCTTTTAAAGGACGCCGGATCATCAGATAGCACTTCCAAAAATATTAGCTCTGGATTTACATTGAGCTCTCAAGATTTCATCCTTCTTGGGATTACCCATACGGATTACCAAGTTTTCATAACTTATATATATATATATATATATATATATATATATATATATATATATATAATTAACAATTGAAAATTATAACATAAATGTGTTGTGGATTCCGAGGATGGAATCCGGCACAAATTTATAACGCCAGTAATAGAAATAAGAAAAAAATGTGTATTGAACGTAAGAATACAAAGTGAAATGAAGATTAGTAGTCCAGGAATGCGGGTTAGTAGAAAAGTATATTTACAATCTCTGTAATTGAAGCCGTAATTATCTCTCTTTCTGGACTCTCGTAACTCTGTGTGAACACCTTGTGTCGACCTTTCTTTGTCACGCTATCTCTCCGTAGTATAAGTATACTTGGCCTAGTCCACTTTGCGTACAAGGGGCGACCCCCACAATAATATGTCATAAAATCATTACAAAAATAACCATTTTGTTTCAACACTTCTGGTGTCTTATCAAGTGATGGTGTTGAATGTATAATTGTTGGTTATTGGAATTTATTCTGTAAACACAATCCTATATATATATATATATATATATATATATATATATATATTGTTGAGGATTCCGGGATGAAATCCGGTCTCAAATGAATGATAAACTCAGGAATGAAATATAGCAAATAAATGTATTGACGTAATAATACAATTGGTAATACGGTTAGTAGATCCAGAAATGCGGTTAGTAGCAATAATAATATATATATAGTCTGGGAAATTCAGTATCGAAGTATGACTTCCTTCTGAGTCTACGTGCTCGCAACTGTGACTCCTACAAAACGGTTACCTCACACTCTCACTCTCTCACTCTACTCACTCCCGGGTATTCACCGGCAGCAGTACAAGTACATACTAGGCGATTCCACTTTGTAAAAAAAAGGTTGGACCCTTAACATAAAACATAAAATTACACTTATATATATATATATATATATATATATATATATATATATATATATATATGTATATATATATATATATACATATAGGTATTTTTCTGTTAGAAAAAAAATATATATATATATATATATATATATATATATAGGTATTTTTTTTTCTTCATTGCTATCAAGTGTAATTCTATATGTGGATATTTAATCGCATGACCTCTCGAACGGAATGAGATACCAGGCCAAATTTAAAATGGACTGGGAATCTGCCACTCTACGAACTACGGACAAAAATTACTTATACCTACTCTGCATTTCCCCATTTTGGAGACGCCTCAGAAAGCAAGAAGAAGACATATGGCCTGGGGAAACGGCCCCCATGATTCTCTAGCACATAATATTCATTTGCAACCTCTCCGATCCATCTTGGCCACCAGTCTGCCTTTTGATTTTATTTAACATCTTTTCTCTTGTTAAGTATTGTTAATATCTTCGACGAAACAGTAAATCCTGATCTAGTGCACATAGGACTCAAGAAATAACTGACCGTTTTCATGCCAATTGAGATAAGACTAGATGAAGATCAGACACTAAGTTTTATTCTTATATATATATATATATATATATATATATATATATATATATATATTGTGAGGGTGGTGTAGACGCGATACGACGGAGAGAAGGCAAATATAAAGAGACTGACAATGGTCATAAATTTTTGAAATCAGAAAATACAATATCCCGCCCAAACTGTCGACCAACAAAGACTAGCTATAATGCGGTGTAGTAAAGCAACGCAGTTTCTCTAGCAACGGGATCGGGGTGGGGGATGAAGCATAACAATCTACAAGCAAGTGGGTTGGGGTCAGCATGACGGGAGAGAAAGGTTATCCAGTCTGCCCCTTGCGCCAATCGAAAAATATTCGTCTCGCTCTTTTACGCTACCCGGCAACAAACAGATGAAAATAAGTTTTTCATTCTTTATTTTGTCTCATGGTAATAAAACTCAAACATCCATTTTTTTCTTTTCATTTATTTTACTTTAGCAATTTTTACGCTTGTTTTTACTCATTGTGGCTTCCCCCCAGTCGCAACCGGTCGCTTACGTTGTAGATCAAGCGAGAGGAAGTCACATAAATAAACTCTAATCACTCTTAGTCAGTAATAATATTGCCTGGTCACTCGTTTCCAAGCAGACGCGTCAGATAGGGCAGCTCGCCAATCCCTGTTGAAGACTCCTGCTCAAGCATATATTTGTTCAACACTTTGTCGCTTATAGTACCCCTATGCTGAGCGGACCTTAATTACATTTCTGGGAAAGATCAGATAATCTAGCATGATTATCACTTTAAACTGTTTGCTCTCCGTAAACAATGAGCACTATTCTTGCGTGTAGAAATAAAAATGTCTGCTTCTTACGGAGTTTAATGCCAGACGCTAATTTAGCTAGAGTTTGATCTTGAATTTGTTTTTTTTTAATTATTGACGAACAAAATAAATTATCAAAGACAAACTTGTGATTCTTAAAGCAATACTAATACAACAAAAACAACCATCTATAAATTAAAACAACTACAACTGCATTCTCAAATGTATATTAAAAAATAACGTTAGTGCTCATCAACGTCACAGCACACTTTGCCTACGTCACAGCATTTTTTGCATACGTCAAAACACTCACTAGTTCCATGAAACACACCAACTGTCTTTCAGTATTTTTAATTCACCCTACATAAACACACACACACACACACACACACACATATATATATATATATATATATATATATATATATATATATATATATATATATACAGTGACACACATAAGTATTGGATACATGTTATTTTCTGTTATAACTAGTTTATTTTCGCCATTTTGCCTGATATTTGGTAAGTGATATCTCGTAAAGTTGTTTTAGTTGTATGTGGAAAGAAAATTAAAAACTCATGGTTGAATCCATTTTTTTTTATCATAGTTCAAAATTGCCCTATGCAAAAGTATTGGATACATGACACCTTTTTCAAATTTCCAATCGAAACTTTGTATTTTAAAAGACTTTAAATATTCAAATTTTCGATAGTATTGAAATGTTATCTCTGACCAATCAGAGAAGCACACAATTGTTTACAAGATAGTGCTACTAATCATGTGACTATTTGATGTGCATTCTGCAATTCAAGGATTAAAAATGGCAAAAACTAAAGAATTATCCATTTACCATTTTTAACATGACACGTGGAACTAGAACAGTCTACCCCAGTGAGCGAAATAAAGGGTTCAGTTCGACATTACAACCACCTGAAGAAGGACGGAGCGTACAGCGGTCGAAACGTTGTGATAAACATGGCCACAAATATGAGGACAATGGCGACAAATATGAGGACATGGCGACAAATATGAGGACAATGTAAATAGTGTACATAATACCTCATCTCAGAAATATAGACAGATACACTTAGGCGATCATGTATCTTTCGAGACATGACTGACGAGGCAGATTTTTTCCCGCAGCATGTTGCCATTTCTTTCTGCGGTAGACCAGTTGCCATCCAAGACTATAGAACCCTGTCTGCCTTGTTATTTATCCATAGCTGGGGGAGAGAAGAAGATGATTCATACCTTTCCCAAGGGTGTATTAGCACGTAAGTGAATGAAAAAACCGATAAAAGTGTATACAAATTCTGAGACAGGATGTTTTAATTTGCATTGTTTATTGAAATTCGCACTAAAACTACTGTACTGTATAACATGACATCATAATATAGCAAAATTGTTCATTATAATTTCCATTTGAAGTAAATAAAGGTCTTATTTGATGGGAAAATGATTCAGTAATAATGTGATTGTGTCATGCATCTTGTTCATATACAATTTGTAAAGCTTCAGTAAATTATAAATTTTATAAGGCTTTCACTGATCACCGGAATGAAATTCCAACGATACGATTTTGAACCTAAAATCAACATTTAATCTCGTTTCCTCAAAAAACGGTAATGTTTTGTGCAATTATTTGTCATGTCAAACCCAAAATTTCAAATTGAGTGCAGTACATTGGTTCCAAAATCAAATTTCCCTATTGAGAAATGTTTGAAAACCATACCACAGTTTGATACAAGATATTAGTGAATTTGTAGTACCTCTTTACTTATCACTTTCTTTTTTTTCTTTTACTTTTTCAACACTTTTTCTTTATTTGCTTTATCTTCTCTTTCTCCTGGGTCCATACTGGTTTTCTTTTTTCTATTTCTTTTTTTCTATTTCTTTTTTCTATTTCTTTTTTCTTTTCCTTTTTTCTTTTCCTTTTTTCTATTTCTTTTTTCTATTTTCTTTTGTATTTCTTTTTTCTATTTTCTTTTGTATTTCTTTTTTCTATTTCTTTTTTTTCTATTTCTTTTTTCTATTCCTTTTTTATGTTCTTTCATTTCCTTTCATATTGTCTAAAATCTAAAACGTACAAAACTTCTTCATTTCTTTACACCGATAGAATTATTTGAACTTAGTTTCAACGTTTAGAAGATATTTTCAAAATTTAATTTCCTTTTATTTTTTTGTATATTCAATTTTATTTTTTCTGCGAATTCCACGAAAGCCAACAAATTCACACTCTCAGTCAATAAAACACATTTTATCCAATATATTTGTGACATGTTGGCCATTTTTATATGGCAAAACATCGATTAACAATGATGAACATGTTTCGAGAGAAAAAAATGTGCTGTAGCGCCGCCATTTTGTCAGAATAACTCACTATTTTCCTAAGCGTTGCCTACAGTTTACAAATGAAAAGAAATCTTTATTTAAGACATTAGTCTGTGCAGTTATGGTTTGCAAGGCCATGTTGAAGAATCGTCTTAATGTCACAAAGTTCATCCTCTCTGTTTTCTCCATTCTTTTGGCCTTGTGTCAGATACTGTTTAATGAATTTCTATATGTCAATCTTAGTATTTCCTTAATACTGGGTTTATTTCTTTATTTATTTCTTAACTGATCGTGGATAGACAAAACATTCTGCATGTGGAGGAATAATACCTTCCATCAGATAAGGCCAGTAAAGATTACGATTATGCAACTAGTTCCCTTACCATGAGCAAGTAGCCGGCGTTCACAGTAATACAATAGATGACAGAGCACAATTGACATGGTAAGGACAGCATTTGTCATTTACTATGAGTAAATATTCATCTTTCATTGACCGAGTAGCCAGTGCAACAGCTGAATGGAATTCATAAAACCTTTTGATTAAAGTAATTTATAAATCTTTCTTTTAAAACCACTATTCAGTAAAATGAAACTCGATTAAATTCAGTACTGATGAAGGGCTTCCTTTCTAACTTTTTCTTTGAAGCAATGTCGAACGTTAATATATTGATTATGTTCGTTTCTCCTCGAGATGAATGTATTATTAATTTTAGCTGTTGTTGCTGTTGAAGGTCTTCAAGTGATGTAATTTCTATTATTTTGTGCAGTCCTTGAAGATTATGTAGCATCAGTCTACGAGGATTCGAATAAGGATGGTTCGCTGTAAGACCTACAGGCTGCATTCGCTCGAAGCCAATTTAAGCCTCGATCTGCGAAATTGGTTGTATAGAGTTGATAGTTTAGATACTTCTGATCAAGTTTGTACCATGCATGGCAGGAAAGTTTCGATTTGACTAGGTTTGACTATTTTACAAGTTGTCAACGTACCGGAGCGTTACCATGTGATAAATATGACAGAGAGTGCTTCTCAAATGCAGGACACATTGACCGTAAGACTCATATTGGCAGACCTACGATAAATTACCGACAGTACTACGCTGACAACAACTTAACATGCAGGGTATGTCAGCAAACCTGCAGAAATCTCTCCGGTTTTACTCGTTACATGAAAGACCCCGAGCAAGATGAACAGAGTTTATAAATCAGTCCTGGCCCTGTCCAGAGAAAATTAGTTTGCCACATCTGCGATAAGCATTGCAAGCCACTTGCTGGGTTCAAACGTCGTTGTCACGAGAACCTAAAACGTTGATCAAAACCTGTCTGTGATGATAATACTTGTTCAATGAGGAGTCAACAGTCATCATATACGCATGTATGAGGGGTGAGTTAGACGCGGGAAAATGAGCCTTGCACAAACAGAAACTGGGGTATAAAGATTGCAACAAGACAAGAACACACTGGAGAAGATAAAAATCTTGCAAAATGGCTGGGATATCTTCGCTCGAGACCGTTCCCTCTGAAGGAAAACAATGCACAATGACAACAAAGATATTGCACCAAATTGTATCGAGCATTAAAAACGCAAGTGGGATGTTCCTGATAGCCTTGTTGCTAATCTCCCAGAGAATATCGGCACAGAATTCGATCTAACCTGCAAATGAATGTATTCACGTCTGTCGAAATAGCATGTGCCTTAAAGATTATCAAAGACATAACCCAAGAGAGAGAGATGTTATTCACTACACGTAATACGGCATTAACATTGTGTGCAAGTGGATCTGTCTCACACGATGGACTAAAACGTCATATGGACCTAAACCAAAATATTCCTGTAACACTTACTGCAAGAAGGTTTTAACGTTACTACATCTACGCAAGAAAGGTTAAGTCCCTTAGGATTACAAAAGCAGAAACGCGTTGTTCATATCTGAAAATAGCGCAGGCGAGGAGATTACTGGAAATCAAGCATGTGTATATGTATGTATATATATATTATGCTCAAAAGCATCTACAACTATATATATATATATATATATATATATATATATATATATATATATATATATTATAAAAAGAATTAATTAGCAATGTTAATGTGATTAATAGGAAATCATCGCCAACATGATATTAACTTACTATATCAATTCCTTAAATAATAATATACTTGTATTCGAGTTCTTGACAGATGGATGACACATGCCAAGTGCTTTCGACAATTTCAAATTATCATCTTCAGGGCGCAATTTCCCATATAGTGGCAAACACTAATAATATAAGCTGAATACTCAATATATATATATATATATATATATATATATATATATATATATATATATAGCGAGAGAGTGAGAGAGAGAGAGAATTGTGGGCACTTTTTGAGCATCATATTTATACATACATATACACATACATAAATATACGTATGTGTGTGTAGAAAGAGATAGAGGTAAAAGAGAGAGGGTGATATATATAGATTTATCTTTATATATATATCTAACCTTACCAAATCTAAACTAGTTGTGATCAGTATAGTCCACTAATTTCAGTGCCCAGTCCAATACCGTGTTAATTATCAAAACTAAATTAATTACATCGGTCACACCACTACCTCCTTAAGTAAACCTATTAAATACCACCTTTCGAAACAGAGTGCTATTTATAAACATTTAATAACTCATAATTTACAAGAACCTTTAAGGAAAATTGTAGTCTATAACACAAAGATTTTTTTTCAAATCACATAGTCGTACACAATTCATCATGAGGGAAGCACTGCTGATTAAATACGATTCTCCCGCTATCAATCTTACACGATTTAGCAGCGGTGATGGTGTGTTAAAGGTTTTCTAAAAATAGAAGTGATGCTCAAGTGGCTTCACATAGTGCCTGACCGCCACAAAAGCATACAAACCACCACCCAGTATATACTCTACACAGCGAAACTATTATGTAAAAGTCAACATATAGAAATCCACCATCCGAAAACAACATCCTTGATAATGGCTATAGAACTAGCCGAAAGTGCTCGAAACAGTTATTACTATGGACAATTTCTACATTGTTTAACTCCTGAAAAACGGATAAATCTTAGAATGCTGGAAAAACTCAATAAAAGATAAATTCAATCTTCATTGTCAGCCGTTTTCAATGAAAGTTAGTTAAAAGAAAGATTGCTGCCCAAATACCCATTAATATTCATATATATATATACATATACACAGACATGACAGAATTGAATAGACACCAAAATAAATTTTATTTCTGATTTTTTTTAATAACCAAGATAAATTAACTTAGATTATTTGATTAAAATTGCAGATAACAATACTGGAATATGCCACGAACCAAATGAGCATCAGACCAATCCGAATTTCAGCGAGGACGAATCGTGGGCCAACATGAAGGTGGTCTTAGTCAAAGAAAAATATCTGAAAATCTTTCAATACCCCTTTCTACTGTTAATAGAGTGATTGTACTGTGTTGGAATGCGTCACGAAAAAATAAATGATTTCGTCTCTTTCTCTCCTGCTGTCGTAGCGACGGACACAGTCTCCACTTCTGAGACTGAAAACTGCCCTCCTTCTCATTCCAGCCTTTTACATAGAGCTTGGTAACTCACCTATGCAAAACACCAACAAGCGAGCTACCAATCACAGTTCCTGCGCCTGCCCACCTCCACTCGCTTTGGGGGTGTCAAGTTGACCGACCAAATCATTACACGCCCCCCTGATCTTAAGATCACAAAGCTTCTCAGTTCGAAAGATGGTTGCGTCTGTCTGGTGACTGCGTCCGCATATATACAACTTGCACGCTTGACATATTGGGATAACCACACATGCGCGAACTCGTTTGCTCCGAGGTGGCAGATTTCCAGATTCATCCCGTGTCTCGCTGTCATGCTCGCACAACGTGCAACTCGGGGCAGGCCTCTTCTGCCGGGCACTCCTTCTGAGCGGGATGACAGGGTCCTCATCCTCGGATGAACTCTCATCCGTTGAGCTACTATCCGCCTCTGGACAGCTGGCCTCGTTGACGTCCGCAAGTAGAGTACTGATGTTTGAGGTAGAATTCAGTGGATCCGACTTTAAATACACCACTCACGCACCATCTTCAGAGTCACTTTCATCATCTAATGACGGTTTTAACCCTACAACTGGCCTCAAGTCTTTAACATGACGAGGCACGCCATCCACCCGCACTGACTGCACGCCATCAACTGAATTTCAGTAACATGCCCCATTCTAAGCTTGTCCGTACACTTGCGTGCGGGGTCTTAACCCACACTACGTCACCAATTCTGTATTTAGCTTGCGCGTCGCTCGGAGCCATTGCAATGTCAATGCCTCGCAGCCGTAAGTGTTAAGCGGCACCATGTTAACCGGTGCTGTTGTAGGCGAAACACCGTCTTTAGGCGTCGCATTATACCAATAGACTGCTTCGAGGATCGAACATCGCTTCCTGGCTGCAATCACTTTTATAGACCGGTGGCTCCTTTCTACTATGCCGTTTCTCGCCGGAACGTAGGCACACCGGAACCGAAACCGCACACCCTACTTCTTTAAGAACTGCGAGAATTGCTCTGCAGAAAACACCGCACCATTATCCGTCAATATTTCTGCAGGTGGCCCCCGGTCGTAAAAGATGGACTCCAATTGACGTATTATGCTGGCAGTGTTCTGCCGGTGCAGTAGTCGCCAAATGGCGAAGCGAGAGGGTTCACAGTCAATAATAGTCAAATAGTGCTGGCTGCCAACATGCGTAACATCTATCCCCAGCCTGTTCCAAACATAGGTAGTACTCAAATTTCCTTTTTGCCATTGCACCGGTACTGGGTCAATTGACTGGCACGCCTCGTACCTCTGCACTACTGTCCTAACATACGTCTTTTTGACTGCCGGGTCGACCATCTTCAAGAAGTAGAGCGTCCGTTTAATCCCAGGATGTCCACACTGTTCATGTATGCTCATGATCCGCTCGAGGTCCATACTGAGCGCAGAAGCCGTACACGGCAGCTGCAGATGTTCAGACTCTTTCCGAGCAGCAGCCAACCAACGTTGCGGAACGCGAGTCAACGCATCTGCCCTGTTGACTGCCGATTTAACTAACATTACATCCACAGATAGGTTGTACTCTTTGATAATTTCAATCAGCGTGGTGAGCTGCCTTCGTATCAACATCTCGCTCGATGCCTTGGTGGTCAGTCGCGCTCTTCCGCTAAGTGCATCTGATATCCAACGCTGAGTGCATGCTGAGTCCGTGACGATGTGTAGCACTGTTGCTTGTCATTGGAGCGCCAGGTTAACTCCCTTCAGATTGACGTCTAGTTCAGCCAGGTTTATATGTCATGCATCATTTTCAGGTCGTAACCAGCAGGCGTCTTCTATGATGGACCCGTTATCCTCAAGGGCGACACCCATGGCCAAGGAGCTGGCATCCACCCAAACGGTGAGCTCGTTCCCCTTAAAGCACCAGTCACCTCGCACGGGATCGTCTTGCATCACTCTCTCCATAGTTTCAGTTATCATGCATCTTAGGGTAACGTCGTACACCTCATCTTCCCATCCTGACAAAACAGAAGTTACGCGGCGCTTTATGGCTGCTGCCGCCACTCTGAGCCAACCGCATACGGGAAAATGGCCTACCAGTTTCCCACACATGGAGAAGGTACTCCGACGAGTGATCACTGGCGGGACTTCCGGGACATCACTACCTCGCCTCCAGCGAAGTTTTTCTCCATCACTACTGACGTGTAGTCCAAGTACATTCGCTCCATCCTGTAGCGGTTCTGGGGCCTTGCACACCCAGCCAAAGCGCTCCAGATGTTCCTTAACCCTCGTTGAAGAGGCCACGTTTTCATTGACGTAAACATCGTCAATGTAAGATGACGTTGCCCTTCGAATTTCCTCATCCTGCGACATGACCACATTCATAATCTCTGACATGATTTTTGGAGCCACATTAAGACCAAATTCCAATCGAGGGAGGCAATATCTCTGTCCTTTTACTATGACAGTCTGAAAGGGTCAGAGTGATCGGTGGGCTCGGACTTGGAGGTAGACCCTTCTTAAATTGAGGGTGGCCACATTGCTCCCTTGCTGTCGCCATTCCCGCAATTTCTGCGCACAAACGTCCGCGTTGACCGTATATGCATCTACAAAGGTGTTCAATTCCTTGTAGTCCATGACCGGTCTCACTTTCTTCTTATTCTCTTGCACTATTGCCATCAACGGAATCAGTCCTCGAGGCGGCCCCAACTCCTCCTGGCGCAATCCAGCCGTTTCCTATCCAAAGCTGCAATTCATTTTCGTATTCGCTCCTGATATGCTTTGAAACCGGGTACTCTGCTATTTTATTTTTCAGTGGCGTGGGCGTTCGCCCACCCGCAAACTTCCACGTTGCGGTCCATACGCGCCTGCGCTGGTCGAAAGTTGCACTGAAGTTAGGTTCGTTATTCCTCAAGGCAGCACAGATGGGCGGATCAGAAAACTCGGCTTCGCCCGCCTCTGTGATGCGTACGCCGCCCAGCTCCTTAATAATGTCCATCCCAAGGAGTAGATCAAAACCTAATAACGCTCTGTCCACAACCAACACGGGGTCACCGTTGTTGATACTGAGTTTGATGTTTCCAACTCCCCGGCTTCTGAGAGCTTTTCCATCAGCCGTTAGTACGTCCATCTTTTGTCTGCTCCACTGTCGACAAATCGAACCGTTCGTGAGTGACCGAGAGCAGCCCGAAACTACTAAAGCGGTACGCGTTATTCCATTGATGCGCTCCTTAATCACAGGGAGCGCCTCTTTCATGCTCAGTGCGGAGAAGAGACCGGCTGACGTTGCATCCCCCATTCTATTTCCCGGACACTTAGAGGCAATGTGACCTACTTTATGACATTGGAAACATCGTAGATCGAAACGTGCCTTTCGCGCCGACCCGCTGCGCATTGCTTTGCGTTGATAGCGGCAGTCTTTAGCAAAATGATTCGGCCCAGAGCACCGATAGCAGGTGACATCACCATGGCGACGGATGGCTGGGGTCGGATCCTCTTTGACTTCAATTGGCTGAACGACTGCGGCCACTGTTTCATCAGCCTCTTTTTCGTCGATCATGATAGCACGGGCTCTGGTCAACAACTGATTGAGCGTCATGTCTTCCATTTTGGATGATGCGCGGAGTATCTGCTTAACATGACTAGGCAATCCAGACACGAAGGCACAGGTCATCCATTCTTCAGGAAGCGGTGCGATCGGTTCTGCCAAATATACGTCTACTGTCTCGCCATCGGTCTTAGGACCGACTGACCCGTGCTCGACCGCCGTTGGCACGGAACCCTTCTCCTCTTCGGTCTTCGAAGGTCTCGTTCAAATATTTGCTACTACCACCGAGATCTGCACCCGCGGTCGGCTCCACCCAGGATCATGCCCTAGGCTTCCGTGCTCACCGCGGCGCCCTCCTACTCGTTGCGGCATCGGTCAGGCGGTCCTAAGTAACTTATAAAATTACTGGGTTTTAAAGTCTAAATACTGTAAGGGATTCCAATACATTTACTTACTCTTAAAAGAAATATAGTATATTAAAAATTAAAAGTGAAAATATTTTTCAAACTGTAGTTAAATAAAACGTATTCTAACCTAAATACTCCCCCAAAATTTTTAAATATACAAATAGAAAAAATACCGTAAATCTTTGCCGTTAACAATAATTTTTTTTTTAAAATCCAGACGACATGCATTTAACGGATGTCAGATTTCATTGAAGAATACATCCCTACCCCTACCAAAACTGATACATCAAAATACAGACAAAATGAATACGCAAACACCCCTCGTCTGGTTGAAATGAATTTCTCTGTTTCCTTGGAAACGTAAATTATGATTTTTGCTTTTTACTTTAAAAACCAGTAATTTTATAAGTTACACCAAAATTCGCTTGAGGATGAAATGGGACTAATGTCTTAAATTTAATTACAAAATTAAATTTGGACCTTCCATTTTTGAAACATGGTTAGAACTGTGTAGCGGGAAAACCATATTTTGAATCAATTAATTTATAATATTAATGTTCTGTAAATTTACATTGAGCACTATTTTGTAAAAATAAAAATATCTATAAGAACACCGGATTATATATCTTATTGTTCTTTCTTTTTATTTATATATATATATATGTGTGTGTGTGTGTGTGTGCGCGCGTGCGTGCGTGTGTTCTGTATTTTCTGTCAGAAGGATGCAAATGAAGCACACGCCATTCGTCATGTATTGACCCCAAAACCAGTACTTCTGTCGGTTGCATTTTAAAAAAATATTCCTCTTGAAAAAATTTTTCAAGAAAATATTTATCACGCTTTCCTGTATTGATGGGGGGGGGATCCTTTGCTTTTGTTTGATGTAGCGTGTAACGTCAACATCTTGACATATAATGATTTTTTTCTTTTCGCGTTACATGCACTGTCCATGTTAGTTTTGTGTGCGACTTTTGTAATTACTATACAGGCTGAACAGAATATTGTGGTATTCACTCACAAGAATTATACACTGATCGCCTTTCCACACTCAGTGGGTTCGAAAGTGAACATTTCTTTTTTTTTTTTAGTAATATACGCTCTGTCTCTTCTGAAAGAAGACAGTTTCGAGATTTCAGGACTAGTGTTCGCCTTAATTCCAAGTTTGAAATTAGGATCATTGGAAGTTAATCAAAACTCATACTTCTTTAATCAGTGTAACCCGGATATAAGAGAGTTGTCGGGACCGGAGAAGAAGTCTCTTATATCCGGGTTTCTCTTATATCCGGGTTTGGTCTATTTTATATACATTAACTGTTGTGTACGATCCACCTAATTTACATAAGTGGAGTACCGACCATATAAATATGGGTTGGTACCGGGAAGACGGGAAAATAGTAGTAAGAAGAGATCGAATCCAGAGACTCTGCCCGACTGCGATTTAGTCAACCCATTCTGCAGGAACAGTCTTCCCAAGAATATACCAAAACTAACTGTAAATATTATGTACCTTTTCCTTGTTTCAATACATTTTGTTTACGTACATTTTGTGTTGTATTATTATTATTCCATGCTTATCCAAGTTTCAACATTAACACAGGCTCTAATTTGGGACCAGAGAAAATATCTCTTATATCCGGGTCTCTTATATCCGGGTTACACTGTATAAGTAAAAACCACGTTTAACTTGAGACTTTTTTCAAAAGTGTTATATCAAGTGGATTGGGGGGCTTACAACATAAAATTCAGTCGAATTAACATAATTGGTTGACATATTTTGCCTGATTTAACTACGTGTAACTTAAAAATGCCAGAGATAAATGTCTTTTCCTATATTTTACTGCCAGTTCCAAAATATTAAAAAGAATTTAAATGTAAGAATGCTGTTCCTGCAAAAATATTTAATAGCACTCAGTGCCTTCCATAGGTTAAATAAACCATTATGCGCTTTTGACGAGCATTAAATATATGTTTTCGACATACCTCTCCTGTTATTTATCAGAAAATCATGATCTAGACCTCAATCTCTATATTGCTTTTTTTTTTTTTGTTGAATCACTTTTTGACACTGAATTAGGTAAATGGAATATTTAAAGTCTTTGGGTAAATTTTGGCTCATCTCTGCAGTCCAAGATTTCTACACCTAAACCCCTATTTTTTATTAGAAATGTGAAAATTTAATTTCAGTCTTCGTCTTAAGTACAAATAACATTCATACTGTTCAATAAGTGAACTGAAAATCATTGTCTGCTTGGCTCTGTTTTGCGACACATCGTTCCTCTTTTGGTGCGAACGGCATATTTTATTGGTCACGGCAGAAGGCGATTTTAATCATGTGTTGCCTTGGTTTCTTCTCGCTCAGAGAAAACGAAAGAATAATTGGTAGAAATCTCTTTAGAATATACCAAAGAAAACGCGAACATTTTCTTTTAAACTCCGATTACATCTCACTTTACTCTGTGCCCAACATGACAAATTCTAGAGAAATTGTTAGAGAAATATATATATATATATATATATATATATATATATATATATATATATATATATATATATATAACGTTATATAACGTTATTAAGATATGAATTACTAAGGCGTTGGATTTAGCATTCAAACAAAAGATAACCAAACTTCTAAAACAATGTGCTGCTAACAATATATTTGATTTTCTTTTTTCTCTTTTCATACTCACGCTCCTGATGATGACTGACTTGAGTCGAAAGCTTTGTCCTAATATGAATTTTGGCTATACTTTTTCATATAAAAATCAACCACATTTGGGAGATGTTATTTACTTATTAGATAAAAAGATCAATAAACGCGTATTCTTTGTAGATAATATTTTCCACCGGCCTGAGTTGGAACAACTACATTGAAACAATAGTTTCATCTACCGCAAAGAAAATTCATTCTCTATGCTGCGGCAGAAGTTTTTTCTCGCCTGAGTCCATCCATTAAATTTACCATTCGTCCTTGCATTAAATACTGTTGCCCTATATGGTCGGGTGCATCCGCTGTTTACCTCGCGGTCCTCGACAAAATCCAGAGACGGATATGCGATGTGATTGGTCCTGATCTGGCATCTCGTCTACAGTCACTTTCTCAAAGACGTGATTTGGCTTCCCACTGTCGTTTCTACAAATATTTTCATGGCAACTGCTCTTACGAGCTACGTTCACTGACACTCCAACTGCTTGAATTTAAGCGTGCTACTAGGTTGGCATCTCGGTCCCACCCTTTCACTGTCGAAACTGTTAAATGTAACCGACTCTTCTACTTCAACAGCTTCTTCTCTCACACTTCCCGACAGTGGAACTCCCTTGCTTCTACTTGCTTTCCTGTTAGATATAATCGTCAAATATTCAAATGTAATGTCAATCGACATCTTCTGATCTCTTGATCCTGATCCCCATTCTTCTCTATATCCTTTCCTCAAAAACCCTTCTTTACTCTTGCTCTCATTCTCAGTAACCCTTTGCGCGCTAGTGGCACTCCCGCCTTGTTTGGGTTGAAATGCTTAATACATACATGCATATATATATATATATATATATATATATATATAGAGAGAGAGAGAGAGAGAGAGAGAGAGTGAGAGGGAGAGAGAGAGAGAGAGCGAGTGAGAGGGAGAGAGAGAAAGGTTTCGTCACCGGTAGCACGAAATGTATATTTATTAATATATAATTAATATCACTGTTATATTACATCGAGCACTATTTTATTAACACCAGAACAATGTGCGTTATATATATATATATATATATATATATATATATATATATCTGTGTGTGTGTGTGTGTGTGTGTGTGTGTGTGTGTGTGTGTGTGTGTGTGTGTGATGCGTTTCGTCCTTCAAGACATAATCGGGCTAAATTTGTTATATTCGTACGACTACACATGCGCAAGAACTAGGGGTGCTGATTTTTTTTTTTCTTTTTTTTTTTAACAGCTGAATGCATTTGGGGTCTTTTTTTTTATTTCCATCAATTTTGTTAGTAATTAACCCGCACTATGATATTAGAAGATCTTCCAGGAATGTTGGAATATTCTAAGAATCAGGGCGCAAATTTTCTGTAAATGACCTTTGCACTTATTCTAGACATTTACGCCGTAGTGAATTATTTTCTCCTTTGATCAGAGTTGCATTTTATGTCAAAATTTTGATCAGTCTCATTACAGTGGACGACCAACATATTTAACGTATTATTTTTTAAAATGTTCCTTTTGTGTTCATATAATCATGTGTCAATATAATTCTTTTTATTTAGATTCCTCCTATGTATTTTTTTGACAATTATTACAGTCGATGGAGTAAACTCCCCCTTCAAGTTTTAGCTTATTGTTTTGGTTAGAATTGACGAAGTTATTTATTGTTTAGGCTGTAATAGTAACAAATTTTATATTCAGTCGAGATACATTCTTTTCGATTTAAGATGTGAGAGAGTTAATTGGTTGGATAATATATTTTTTTGATTCATTAGGTTTTTCAGGAGGAGGGTAGTTTTTTGGAATATTTTATGTCCTTTTGTTTCGCATTGAATATAAAATAATTAGGGTACTGGAGAAGGTTCAGAGTGTTTTCAATTTATTTCTCCTCTTCATGTAAATAATCCGGGATGCATATTCTTAGTGCTCTTAGGTAAAATCGGATGATTATGCCAGAGTTTATTTTGTTGTTATGATGAGAAAAAATGTATTTGGTCGTTTTTGTTGATTGATTTCCGGTGGACAACGAGTTTTAAACTGTTGTTAACGCAGTGTAGCTCGATAGCTAGGAAGGGTTATGAATTGTGTTCTTCCATTTCGTATGTAAATTCCATTTGTTTAGTTGATCTACTAGGTCAGGTAAATCAGTATCCTGAGGATATAAAAGTAGAGAAACGTCAATAAAACTGAAGTATGTTGATTGTTTGGGTAAAATATTTTGGAAAGGAACTAATTCAAGAAAGTCTAAGAAGATACAGGCCAAAACAATAAATGACTGA